CGCCGCCAGCACACAACCCGAAACCGAGCTGCTCCGCACAGGCACCGCTGGTTTCCCTGGGAGGATGCCGTCGCTAGGACTCCCCTGCCGTGTTTATCGCCGCGCCGTGACCCACCCATGGAAAAAGTAAAGAAATGAGGCCGTGAGAGAGCGATCTGCGCGGAAGATGGTTGCAAAATGCAGCCGCTGGCGACAGGAGCGAACCGAGTCTGTGTGCGTGTGTATGTATGTGTGCACATGGGCATATACGTACGAGTTTCCCTCAGTGGTGGTATTTATTTTTTAACTTATTTAAGATTTTTAGTACAACCTGGAACGTCACCCTCCCTGTCGGTGGACAACTGGGTTTCCTGTCGATTTGCAAGAAGCCCATGAGCTTTTCTGTCTTGGTGCCTTTTGCCTGTGCTTTTTTGTGTGGGTTTTTTTTAATGTTGTTTCGTTCATTCATCTCTTTTATGGAATTTTTGCGCCATGTCCAGCATCTCAGATTGCTGCTGGTGCTTTCTGCAAAGAGCAGCAGTCACCTGGTGGAAAGGCAACTCAGTTGTTTCAGTGTAGGTGGATCGTGTCTCACTTGTGGCCGGCCACACAAGGGATGCCCAGGGCTGGCCACGGTGTCCCCCAGAGCAGCAAGGCTCCAAGAAAATATCTCAAGCCATTTTTTGGAGGCCCTATCTCAGAGGGTTTTGCTTTCCTCAAACAGAGGCTCTTTCCCACCCATGATTTTATTTCCATGGCGCGAGCGCCTCGGTTGCCTTTCCTTGGCAGAGTGCACATCGCAGCACCTGCTCCCAAATGTCCCCCTGAACCCAGAGTCGTGCCGTCAGCTCTTCCCTCTCCCTGGATCAGCCTTGGCTCTGGGTTTGTCACACCAAGTGAGGCTCATCCCACCTCTCCTAACCCCAGTGCTGGGGCCAGGCTCCAGAAAACCCAGCACAGTCTCTGCAGGTTTGGTGGAAAGCAAAGAGAGGGGACATTTCAAAGCACTCTTGTGTTCTTTCTTTTCTTCAACGGGTTACAGCACTCAGTTGAGCTTTGCTTTATGTTGACCGCAACTTTTTCTCAATGTTTTCATTGTTTTGGGGAACTGAAGTTGTACCAAACTTGTCTGCAACAGCCAATCAACGTTATTTTGCTATGCATTGTACATATATGGTACAGGCTGAGAGGACTTAGCCTCTATTTAATATTTATTCTTTCTATTTATTGAGCATTACTTTTAAAAAGCTATTTGGGTCTTGCCGTTGGGTCCATGAAGGTAGGAGCCTTAGAGGTGTTGCCATGTAGGTTGGAGGGAAGTTATCAGTGAGGTGAAGTCCTGAGGCTGGCACCTGCTGGCATGGAGGCATCTGGCAGACAAATTAGGTTCATTTGGAGCTCAACCACCAGTGATTTAGGGAGAAACCTCATTTAGATGGAGATGAGCAAGGCAGGGGAAAATCCTCCATCTTCTTGGGCCAGCTTCTCTTGACAAATCACAACCCCCTGGAAAGGTGCTGGGTGTTCGGGGGTGACAGGCTGGCTGTGGTGGAGGAATAACCTTGCTCTTCATCCTCCATGCCACGTAGGGCTGCTTGGATCACAAAAGATCCCTGGAGATCCCTGATCTCCCACCACTGACCCCTTCTGGGCTCTCAGTGGTTACTGGGGGAAGGAGGGACTTGTAACCCTTTCATCGATGCAGGGAAGGGGATAGGGTTGAAGTGACTTGCTGTGGTCTCTACAAGGAAGCAGGGATGTCCACCTTGCCCCATCCTG